GATTCAAACCCACCACCTTAGGTGTATGTGGCTGGCACCTTAGCCACTTGAGCCCGCCCGCAGCTTTTAAAATTTTTAAACACACACAGTGGCATCATTCTGCATGTTTTTAACAATTCCCCTTTGACAGAAAACTGAAATTTTCTCCAAATTTTCACTCTCATAAACATTACTGTGTGGGCAGCACCTGTGGTTCAAAAGAGTAGGGCACTGGCCCCATATGCCAGAGGTGGCGGGTTCAAACTCAGTCCCGGCCAAAAACTAAAAAAAATTACTCCTGTGAAATAACTTTTATACTTACCTTTGAGGTGTTTTTGTTGAGACAGAGCCTCAAGCTGTGACCCTGGCTAGAGTACCATGGCATCACAGCTCATAGCAACCTCAAACTCCTGGGCTCACGCAATTCCCCTGCTTCTGCCTCCCAAGTAGCTGGTACTACGGGCGCCCGCCACAATGCCCAGCTATTTTGAGCTCTTGATCCTATGTATTTTTTTTTTTTGAGATAAGAGTCTCACTTTGTTGCCATTACTAGTGTGTCATGACATCATAGATCATAGCAATCTCAAACTCTTGGGCACCAGTGATTCTCTTGCCTCAGCTCCTGAGTAGCTGGGACTACAGGCAACTGCCACAATGCCCAGCTATTTTTTTAGAGATGAGCGCTCACTCTTACTCAGGCTGGTCTTGAACTCCTGACCTCGGCCTCTCAGAGTGCTAGGATTACAGGTGTGAGCCACTGCACCTGGCTTGATCATGCAATTTTGAGCAGTGATCAGCTGTGACTAACATCCAACCCAACCATGATGGAGAAGAGCAATATAAAGACAACTTGGGAGTATGAAAAATGAGTAAATGAGGAAAAGAGAAAAGGTGTAGATGGGAATAACACTAGAAGATAAAAAGAGGTAAACACCCAAGCCACAGATACCTTTTTCAAAAATGTTGCAGCTGTTTCTCTCTTTGTTGCTGTGATCCGCTTCACTCCATCCGGGGACTGGACACGAATTATCTATTATAAATGAAACAAGATTGTTAGTGCACAGCCTGGCAAGGTCTTTCTTCTTCTTTTTTTTTTTTTTTTGTCCTTCTTTATTAAGACTTACATCTTCAGCCTTTCCGGACCCAAGTCACTGAAACTTAAAGCCAACCCTCACCCTTTACCTTTCAATGTCTGACTCAATCCTTCCAGTGAAGCAGCATGGATTCATCAACACATGGGGGAGGTGTATTAGAAGTCCACAGCTCAGTTGGCAGGGCACCAGCCACATACACCTGGGTGGTGGATTCAAACCTAGCCCAGGCCTGCTAAGCAACAATGACAACAGCAACCCCCCAAAAAAGTAGCTAGGCATTATGGCGGGCACCTGTAGTCCCAGCTACCTGGGAGACTGAGGCAAGAAAATCACTTAAGCCCAAGAGTTTGAGGTTGCTGTGAGCTGTGATGCCACAGCATTCTACCAAGGGCAACAAAGTGAGACTCTGTCTGGGAAAAAAAAAAAAAA